AAAGAAGATAGTGAGACTGACGGTTTAGACGACTGAGAGCCGGGCTTGTAGCTGGATGACACACACTCACACACTCACTTTCACACACACGCACACACACACTCACGCTCACACTCACACTCACACACACATGCACAGAGCCAGGGGCGATGGAGGAGAAGAGACTGAGGAAGACTTTGATCACCGAACTGAGCACATTCAAGCACTCAACCAGAGAGGGCAGTCAGTGATATGGAGAGAGGAGAGTGCCCAGGGAGAGAAGGGGGGAAGAGGGAGGAAGAGGGAGGGAGAGGAATGTGGTTGTTTTCTGACCTCTGCGCTCACTGATACAGATGTTAAACCATGAACACACAGACAATCAGGCATCCGACACAGACACCACCGAGCTGTGTTGTATTAAAAGAGGAAATAAAACTGTTTTTCTTGACATGTTTCTTGATCGTGTAGACCCATGCTGACAAAACTAATTTCATTTCAGCCCGTGTGAACGCTGTGTCTCGACGTGAGCATATTGAAAGCGTTGGCAACATTTATTTCTTTACACTTATTTATCTTTAGCCTCTTGCTGAATGGTAAATATTACAATGTGAAGTAGAAACCAAACAAACACCTGTGTCGCATAGGAACCCCCCATGGCTTATATTAACTTTACAAACAGTGTATGTCCGAAAACAGGCAGCCATAGCACTACAGATCCGTCCTCCACGCATGAGATGCAGGTGGATAAACCATTGTGCTGTTTGCGAAGAGAGCAGGTAATTATCGTTGGCATTTTGACAAGTGTTTGCCAGAGTGAAGGTCAACTCTGTCTGCGTGGGAGATCTATGCTAATCTGCTCAGCTGGAAAAGACTACCACTCACCACTCAAATTGTAGCTATAGCACCATTATGCAGTCGCGGCTACCGTGTTTTCACTTTAGAGTTGTCTGCAAAGGGTGCGTGCGTGCGTGCGTGCATGTGACAGAAGCAGAGGCAGAAACAAGGGAGCAGACATTGTCTACGTCCATGTCTCTGCGTGTCTCCCTCGGGTGACAGCCGTGTGTCAGGGTCTCTGCTCTCTGCTCCAGATGGCCCAGCCAGTTGCTCCCAGCCCTCATTGACCAGGGCCGGGGTTCTCACGGCCTGGGGGCCCGCGGACTCATTGCTGTGGCCTGGCCTCTGGGGCCTTTGGGGCCTCAGAGGGGCTCCGGGGTCGCCCAGCCGTGACAGCCAAGACAATAGGAGTGTCCTCACCCAGCTCCCACCCACCACCTACCAGCCTCTCTTAACACACACATGTACACTCACTCATCACGGCGTTTGTCCCGGGCCGTTCTTGAGCACAGTTGGTAGACAGCGGCCGGGTCCCCCAGGCGTCAATTTTAACATCACACACTTAAAGAACCTGGTGATCAATTAAAAACAAGTATCATAGAAGTAGAAGAACGCAAATCTGGATGTTGATCGATCAACAGACATCCATATCGTCAATTAAAAAAATAATGACGGGACATAATTATAGACACTCGATGAAGCAAAAGCACCCTTCCTACACAAACCCGCCCACTCACTGTGAAGTGTACAAACATGTGGAAACGGGGTGTAGATCAAATCCATCATCAGCTACAAAATGTTGCTTTGCAGAGAGCAAAGGCAACTCTGGCAGATCCAATTTACCCCGCCTGAATTTGATTTACATGTTTAGAAATCACATTGAGATTGAGAGGCAGCAAGACGGCAACAAAAAAAAAAAAAAAAAAAAAAGTTGAGTTCTAAACAACACATTTCAACATTGGTCTTAACAGCTTGGCTGCCACTTCATCAAATATTGAATAAATCATTTCTTGGCACAGTATGAACACAGCTGCAAAAAAAATAATAATCACACACACAGACATGCACACGGGCACACAAACACAGACACACACACAGAATGCCTTGTAGTTTTGATAAAGCAGCAGCTTTCTCTTTTGTTTTGCAGCCGAGCAGGGATTAGGCAGTGCGAGTCTTTGTCCTGCAGTTTTCCAGTTGAGCAGAACACAAGAGCCTCTACCTCCACTAATACAGTCAGACCTCCCAGCAGGCCTTTCACCACTCAGCCGCTAAGAACCCGCTGCCCCAAAAGATGCTTTTCAATGAGTTATCAAATCTCCTCTATACTGTCCATGCCTTTCAACCGAGTTTCTTTGTCTGTTCTTTTCAATGGAGCATTGAACGCATCAAATAGAACTGATGGGCAGATAGATGGACAGCAGAATATAGCAGAGCCGCTGCAGAGTACAGTCAAGGTTTAGCATGTTGTTGCATCTCAATGTACATGTAGAGTATGTATGTACAAGTATATCATATAACAACACGTCCATTTATGGTCATTGTATATTATTCCAAGTAGTTTTCCAACAGGAGAATTAATCACACCACATTTTTGACGATTGATTAATCACTTCAGAAATGAATTGGGCATACATTTGAAACATTTGCTGCTTCAAGCTTCTCAAATGTAAAGATTTTCAGTGTTTTTGTATAATTTAAAAGTAAATCTTGCTGACTGTTGGTCAGATGAAACAAGATATTTTAAAATGTGTCGCCTCAGGCTCTCAGAACTTGTGAAAGTCACTTACTATATTTTGACATGTTACAGAGCAAATGTACATCCTTTCAAGTAGATAATACGTAATTTTTAAGATATCTCGTAGCACTGCTATGCAGATATTTAACTATACATCTTATTTAAGCCAAAACAAATTCGCCAAACCAACTCTCTGCAATCTAGGTGTGTTGATGGACCGGGCTGCGAGTCGCATTGTTGGTATAAGTACGAAACACAGGCATCATACCTTCAGAGGGAGACGTCACTTACGCAACATTTGGGTGTGTCGTCGTTCTAATTTGGTATTTTCACAGTTTTACACTTCAACAACTACAGTTACGACAAAATGTGACTTTCTTGACGAGCAAAATTATCTTTCGAATTGACAAACATCAAATGTATAGTTCAAGGCACAATTTAAACAGGATTAAAAGAAAACTTACTTATACTTAATGGTTATTAATCTGATATACAGAAGAATGCGTTTCTAGTTTCATGACTGCTATGAAGCCCGCTGTGCAGGCTGTCAGCAGCAGGCTGAGCAGAGTACAGCAGGGGCTTTGATGAGTTCATTAAGAGGACACGTCATTTATGCACGGTCACACATAAGGCAATGGTCAGCTAGGATTACCCAGGTGGCCGTTGTATGTGGGCGTCAGTTTGATTTCCAGATTCCACTTAAACCATGCCGTTGCTCCACAACCTGTAACCGCTGTGAAATCACTTTGCCGTTGCCATATTGAATTGAATCCAATGTCAGGCGTGCATATTTGGAGTTGGAATATAGCTATAGCTATAAAAGAGAATTTCTGCATTTGCTTCACATTGTTTTAAATGTCGGGAGGAGAGTGGGAAGTCCACTCCGCTTCACACTATGGTGGAAGTAGAGGGGGGGTAACAAGGTAGGAGGGGGGGGGGGGGGGGGGAGATAAAGCTGGATTTGATCTAAGGTCAGTGGGGGCACACATGTAGCTCCGGAGACAGAGGATTTAACCACTCTGCTATCTGCAAGCACCATTTTTACATTTTTAATACATTTCAGAGGTGAAACCCACGGTCAGTCAGGATTTAAAGACAACAACGACGCACCTGAAGTAGTTTGATAAGATCCTTCCGTCGCCTTTTACAAATCACTATTCAGGTGGGCTGTATTCATAATTCATCAGCACGGGTCAGGCTGCTGATCATGTTGACTTAACATTTGGTCTGACATTTCAGCCCTGCTCATGCCTGTCATTAGCTCTCGCCACACGCCACCTCATCAAAGTCAGTCACACAAGACGGGAGGTTAAAAAAATAAAAAATAAAAAAAAAAGATGAAGAAGAAGTAGAAAACGGATAGAATAGAAAGAGAAAACAGACGGATGTTATGATACAGTATGATTATTACACCTCATGCAGGAGAGGTACATCTGCCGCAGCTGCAATATTTGCTCATTTTGTTAAACAAACGTTGCAAAAGTGGAATGACGGCAATGGATAAATACAGATACACACTGTAATCCAACAAACACACACATGTACAAAAACTCACACTCGAAATCACTGAACCAAAGCTCAACCCCCGGCCCAACCTTTCTTGCGGTAAATCTGTATCATCAGCCATCATCCAGCACATCGCTGATAGGAAACGAGTTGGTGCCAAAAAATGTCGCCGCGTAGAAAAACTGGAGCAGCAACACATTTCAGCCAATAACAACACCGCCATGTTGATTCCAGCGGGGTGATAGTGGATGATATTGACTGTCGCTAGTATTGCCGTGCTTCTCAAAGTCATTTCCGACAAAAGCAAGGACATCGACACACATCACACACACACACCAACTCATACGCCGGGCAGATCGGAGGGCAGACAATAAACAGGGGAGTGGAGGCATACTGACAACCCTCTTTTCTGTGGGTGACAGCTTTCTATCAGTCTACATCAAACAAGTCCACACATGCAGCTACACACACACACACACATAGAAGTACACACTCTAACTGATTGGCTGGTGAAAACCTGTTTCAACCTGTCAGCCTGTTGGACATAATAGAAGACCAAATAAACTGTCCTGTACACTGTTTAAGTGTGCGGGGTGTGTGTGTGTGTGTGTGTGTGTGTGTGTGTGTGTGTGTGTGTGGACAGACTCATCATCTCAGTAATTGATGGTCATCTGTCATTGCACACTGTTGATAATCTTCTTTGGGACGGGGGGGTTTGTCGGAACAAGATGAACACCAGCCTATCTACTGTATCTGGAGAGACTAATCTGTGTTCTCATTTAAGCACAGACGGTGACAGAGTGGTCTGGCTCGTGAAAATGAAATGAATCGCAATGAAGGTCGTCAAGAGCAATCGTCGTGTGATAGGTGATAGAAGAAAATATATATATATATATATATATATATATATATATATACACACACAGTATATATTGAATGCTCTTACCGGCAACTTGAATCAGATCTGCAGTGGTCACATTCTTGGGGTTGGGGCCAATTCTGAAAGTCAACGCTGGACCCAAGACACTGCAGAAAAACAGCAAAGAAAGTGCAAAATGAGCAGTTGTATCTAGAGGAATTGTTTGACATTTTGGCATGACTACATTGATTGTTAGTTGGGCTCTGAGTGCTGCAAAAACACGGGTGAGCTACACGCTACAAAACTGTGCCTGAACACATCTTGAGTAGACGGAGGATGAAGGTGATGGAGGCTGTGTAGACAATGTTTGAGGTTGCAAGACAACCAGCGGAGACTTAAAGAAGTTTTTGCTCCAGGTCAAGAAATAGTCCGGTGCATAACCCCCAGTACAACAGCCTTTGTTGATTTCAAATGTTTTTGAGCAGATTGAATGTGTTAATTAGTGAGCTTCAGAGGTGCTAGTAGGTGTGTTTTGCTGTTTCCAGTCTCTAGGCTAAGCTAAGCTAACTGGCTGCTGGTGGTAGCATCAGATTCACTGGACAGATATAGACTCACCGAGACAATAAAACAAGTAGTATGAATTATTATGTTTAACTCTCCACTCAATGCAGAATTTGCCAGGATGCACAAAGGGTGTGACTGATGAGAAGAGAAGCTGTAAAGTACCAGGCGCCATATTTCAGAGAAAGATGTCAACATTATATTGAATTCTCTTTTCCTTTTTAGCTTGAATTTGGCCAAAGACCAATGTACAGTCATCATGTGTTCTTCTCCCCTACAGTAATCTGCCGGTACTCCCTGTTCCTTTACTCCCCTCTCTGTCTGGTCAGGAGTCTGCTACAGACTTCTCTCCCTGGGGCAGAATAAATGTTTGAGGTCCCTGAGGTTGGCCATGAAATAAAATCGAACAACCCCACCAGACTCTGTAAGAACTCCCTGCAGTGGTCAGGAAATACTGCGTATTCTGAAGCAATGTGTAGAGACAAAATCATACCTATGTCTACTGTAACCTCTTAAACTCTCAAATGATGGCATCGAATTATGTATTTTTAAAAGAATAAATGAGCAGCGACTTCAGAGGGTTTCAGAGGGCTTCAGAGGGAGGGCTGTCTTTCAAAACAGGTTTAAACGAGCAACAATAAGCATGCCATCCCCCACGAATGATGAAGACCCTGTCTGAGCCAATCAGTAACTAGAATGGCGCATTGTTCTGAGCTGTAATTGCAGTTCCCCAATGGGCCAATCAGGATAATTCTGAATGCTGCGAGTGCAGCAGTGAGCTGTGATTTTCAACGAGTTTTATCAAAATCAAAATGAAATCAGAGATGTCTGAGATGATGAACACATGGCACGAGTGAGCAAATGATCAATGCAGGAGTCGGATGCATCACTCTCCCAACGTTGTAGGAAACTCCTAACAGGCCATTTAGTGAGAATTGTAAAATGCCAGAACTGAGATCGACGCTGTGAAGATCTGTGAAGTACTTTGAGTCTTTTATTCAGTCCCAAATATCTCCCACTGAGGTGGGTACACGTTCAAGTCTTTTGCAAATCAACTTCTTTCAACAATTTTGTAAAAGCAAGTTATATTTTTACTTGATTCTAGTGCATCTTTATATTGATTTTCTTTCTAAATAATGACTCATTTGTGGAAAGTTATTTAAACAAATTGATTTCCATTTAAAACAGGTTGGCGTGAACCTTTCAAGAGACGTTTGGGCCTTGATAAAATACTTAACTTCATAAAAGGCCCCATACCATTAACGTGCATGTTTTAGCCCATTTACTGCAAATACAATATATATCACATCATAGCTCATTTTATAAACCTTGCTGCTGTGTTCAGATATGTTCAATAAAGATAGCCATTGACTGCCATTCATTTTAACTCTTGTAACCTGCTTAACATGTATAATCCATCACGGTGAAAAGCAAGTTTGCATTGATTTTCAGTTTAGGTGGATTTGAAAATACTTTTTCATTTATGGAAACCAATGGAAATCAATGGCTACGTGGACCAGTGGATACAAGAATATATATCTCTACAGCAGGCATTTTATTAAGTCTTTAGAAAAAAATGTAGATTACACAAAACATGTTGTTAAACCTGCATAAACAGATTTATTTTGTTCAGTATTCACTCTCTTTCTGCTCTGATTTTGGTCTCCACCAGCTCCTGGGGGAGATGCATGTCTGCTAAATCCTCCGCTATGTTCACCAGCGTGCAAACTGTGTCTGTCTGCTGTTTGGTGCTGAGCAGGTAGTGTAAGATAGATTTTTAGAGCTTTATTTTTTTTTTTATTTAAAAGCAGCTGCCTGCTGCACTTGGAAATGACATTGATAAGAGTAGTGAGCCAAAACTGTAAAGTCGAGAGGTGAAAAAACAAAACAAAAGATTGAGCTGAAATATGTGGAAGTGGTACGTAAAGCTGAGGGTACTGCAGATTTGGGTGATAATTCTCAGTGGGTTCACCAATACAAGCGATCAGTCATTTTATATATATATATATATACACACTGTATATATATATCATCAAAGTTAACCACTGCCTTCTGAGATATTGTACTTGGTAAATAACAAAACGTATAGATGGAGGGATGGATGCATAGATGGATACTTAGTCCTTTATTATTTCTATAATAAACACACAAGGCGAGTTGAGTTGTCCACTTGTGCCATCTTTCCATCAGATATAATCACTCGACCATTACAGCACATCATCATGTCTTCACCCTTAAGTCATGGAAAGTGTGTCTACATTTTCAGTGTGCTTCTGCAGACTGTACGGCAGAGAGGGAGATTCATCAGACTGCCAGAGTGCTGTGACCCAGACCCACTCACCATCAGTCAGCCCGCTACAGAGGCAGCAACACCCACTCCGCCAGGGGCAAGATGTGAGCCGATACTGCTAGACAGACGGACCCGACCATGCACGATGCATTTGTGAACATGATCACATACACAGCTCTAAAAGAAATGTGTCCTTCTCTAATACCTTCACCTGGGCTCTGTTTGCTCTTGTAAATGTCAATATTTCCGCAATCTTTACCCCTGCCTCCATTCTCCTGAGCGAAGGTATTCTGCCTGAGAGCTCGATGCATCTCAAATTGAACTGACGTGATTTTATTTATTTCTCCAAAGCCACACAAACCATATTTAAATATGGTAGGGGGGGGGGGGGGAACACCGCCACAGTCGGGAGGTGAAGTTAAGACGGATACATTTTCTGGAGGACTTCACATCGTCTCCTGTGTTATTGGATGTGGAAGCTTGGACTTCATATTAGCTCTGCTGCTGGGACACGATGAGTGTATATGTGCAGACTGGTTTGCGGGATATTGGCAGGGTGTGTGTGTGTGTGTGTCGGCACAGACTGTGTGAGAGGATGGACTTGTGAGTGTGTATCCCACTCCCCCTAGTGTTTCTGGTGAGAAAAACACTTACGTCATCTGAAAAAGGCATATATTATCCCCCAGAACATCATCATCCAAAACTAGAATTTCACATCTCTTTTGAAAGGGGAATATTCTGTGCTGATTACTGTAGTCATTACGTCCTTGTGTTCGGCATCTGGAAATCTCAACAACATCGAAACCTTCAGCCTCCCTTCTCTCATTCTCTGTCTCAAATTCTTCTCTGCCTGGCTGTTGTCATATTTGAGTATCTCGTCTTCAGTCTTCCTATCAGGGCTCATCAGAGCGAGCGAGGAGAGAGCAGCCCCCCCCCCCCCGAAAGCAGGGCGGCCTGCTCTGACCCAGCTTTCGTAGTCGAGCCGACTCATATTCAGGCAAAGGCTTTCAAACACTCACCTGCCATGGCCACACAGCAAGAGGCACAATGGGCTTGCGTCACGTCCTCCGTCTTGTCTATTTCTACTCGAATGCGCTTTCATTACTTTGTAAAAGGAAAGAGAATGGCGATAAAAGAAGGCCAACAAAGAGGACATTTTTGTATTCGTCTTCTGTAGAGAATACTTTTCAATATAAAAGGTGTAAAACAGTGTTATTGATACTAAAACCTAAGAGGAAATGATTGTACTTTTAAGTCCACTACATTGATTTGACAGTACAGCTACGAGTCACTTTGAAGATTCAGATTTCATTCAGTCATCTTATCTGATGATTAGTTTGATGAGACTGCACAGCCTAAAGCAGGAGAAAGCAAAGACGAAGGAGGAAAACAAAGAGATCAAAACAAAAATAAAACCAAAATAGATTTTTAAAAAGTGATAGAATACTAAATATTAAAATACTAAATTAGAAATGAGCAACTAAATGAATAAAAACACAAAACTCTGGCCTGATACAGCTATCCTGACCCGTCCTGCTTGCCCTAATACCTCTTCGTCCCCAGGTTTAGGCCAGAGATGCCCCTTAGAAGCCTTTATTTATATTTTATTTTTACTTTCAATCCCCTTTGTGATGTTAATGTTATTATAGTTAATGCCCAATTTTTTTGCGTTTTTTTTCTTTTGTCACACAACTCCCATATGCACACATGCCCTACTACTCAAGTACAATAAGAACATCTAAATGTATCTATTCAATTTCACTCAGATCTCCTGTTGATAACTTAAGATCATCTGTAGTATATATAAATGACAGGTGTAATAACAGGATTGGCTCAACCAGTGACGGCCCAGTGACATGTCTTGGTGTTCTTGTTCATCGAAACTAAATCCAAAGCTTTAATTTAAAGATGGGGATCAGGACGTCTCCATGGTTGCATTTATTTTGAGTTCACTGTGTATTTTGAGTGTTGAACACTAGATACAGAGAGTACGACTGCAAGTTTTTCCTCGCAGTCGCTATCCGAGCCTGAACACTCTGTGTCTACAGTAACAGTAGAGCTGCAGACTGCAGTGCACCGGCTTTGGTGTTCATATGCTGCGGATGTTACTCAACCACCCAGACTTCACTGCTCCTGCAGGAGCATCTTGAAAGGCATGTCAGATCTTAGGCGAACACATCTCCTCTGCCTCCTACATGGTCTGACACCAAATGTACAGCAGAAACATGGTACAAGCACAAACCAACCCGGGTTCAAGGACAGTTCGTCCGCTCATTAATATATTCACTGCCTCCTGCTGGACTACTTTCTCTCTTTCCAGCTCTCGATCCACTGCTGCTTCCCTTTCTCTCTCTCTTCCTCCCTTTGCCTCTAACTGCGAGTCGTTTGATGGCTTGACTGCTCTCTTTTTGACAAGGCGTACAGTAACAATGGTGGCGAGGCAGTGTTTTGAATACAATGAAGACATCAGTATGTGTCTGGAGGTAATTAGGCCTGATTTCTCTCCCTGCGAGAAGTCAAACACTCTAAAAGGTCAGAAAAACAACTAACGCCTAAAGTCTCTGGCAGTGTGGCACAGCATTTTTCGCACAAATAGTCCTTGCATCCTCTGGACAACCTTCACTCTGTTCCCCCGAGCTCAAAGGCACAAAATAAATCTGTTTCAAATGCTTTAAACGTGGCCAATTATCCTTTATGCAATGTAGGCTTGTAAACTGCAAGGTAAATTCTTATTTGTGACAATGTGGGCATGTAGGGGGTGTTTGTGTTTGCACATACGAGAGCTGGGTGAGGTCCGCGGCGTGGAGGTTCAGCCTCTCCGTCAGCCGCTCCATCAGGTCCGAGCCCTGGTCACTGGTGAGGGAGCTGGGGGAGAAACACATACAGACAGCCGGGCGTCACGTTTGGAGGTCCACACCCATTCAACATATACACACAGCTATTCAGCTGTTAAAATGATATTTTTTTTAAGGAGATACTGCCACAATTCATACCCGCAAATGGGTCATTGCACACAAGCACAGCCACGGTTGTCTGAATGGATGTACTGCACACACGTACACACCAGCAGACAGACACACAGGCACGCACAAACACAAACAAACACACAAAGAGCCGTGCCAAGGGAAAAGGGATCAGCTGCTTCTTCAGGCTTGGTAAATTACCTGCTTTTTTCCAGCAATGAGACAAACAATAAGGTGCAAATGAAACCTGCATGAGGTGTAATGGCTGTATCATATGGACGCGCCTTTCTCTCCCTTCTCCCTTCCCCTCTCGCATCTTTCTTTTTCTTCGCCCCCCCATTCACTTTCTTTCTCTGGCCGCGCACGTACGCTCAAAGTAAAACATGATAACACAAAATACACAAACACACGCACGCGCGGTGAGATGAGAATAATAAGGTGCAAATGGAATGGAGGTGAAGTGTAATGGTGGTCTGATAAAGCCATGCCTCATCTCAGCTCAGTCCGTGGCTGCTCTCTCACTCAGAGAGTAAATCGCCAAGGAAATAGACCAAACAAAGGCAATCTGCAGGCCGACACGCTGGATGGAGGAAATGAGAAGGGCATACACACACACACACACACACACACACACACACTCACACACACACACACACACACACACACACACACAGAGAGAGCTACTTTATAGCTGACAGCTTAACCTGGAATCACTGGGAGTGCCAAGTGACTGCAAGGTGACATGCACCAAAAACTCAAGGATCATAATGGGACATCGTTTTGTTAGCAGAGAAATTGAACTGGGAACCAATTCCACACAGCGTTGGCGATTAAGTGCATTGTCAGCTATCTTTTTCCAGATACTAAAATATACTACGGAACAATTTTACAATTCAACTTTAAAATTTAGCTGAGATATTATTTTGTTTAGCCTGCATTTGACACCACAATACAGCAGCTTTTTTTCCCCCCAACTGAACAGTGTACTGTGCATGAGTGGCTGATTCACTCCACCTTTGAGAGAGTGGGTGGCTCTTTTTTCTCCACTTTTTGAGGGGTTTTGAAAGTTAAAGATTCACCGAAGCAATTCCAGACACGTTTGCATCCCTCTGCGGTAATTCTAGCAACTGGAGAGCTCCAGGAGTGACTTGGTTGTTGATGCTAGTACTTTTCCCCTTGGGTTTCTCCGTCTCTTTCTCTTCTATCCAAACCATTCCACTTCCCTCCCCCCTCCCCCTTCCCCCCCTCTATTCCCTAAACCCCCCACTACCACCACCACAATGTCAGGAGCTGTCAGATAAGCAAGTTTGCGAAGCCTCTCTGCAGGGTGCGAAGGAGCCGGGGATAACAACCGTGCAATCATGAGGTCTGCAGCAAATGCAGAGCCCTCTATAGGCCAACTATAGGTGACCGCTCAGTGGGCTGAGGATAGACGGGGAGGAGGAGGTGAAGATATTTTATTCAGAAGGTGACCTTTTTATTTCCCTTGGCACATACTCAACTGTGTTGTGTGTTTACGTCTTAATCTGCGTTTCTATATGTGTGGCAATAACGTGAAAAAGATTGTGTGCCCATCGCACCTTCTTGAGCCGACGTGTGTTGAACAGGTGAAGGACAACACACTGACTTCATAACACCATGAAGGGATTTGAGAGAGGCACCAGGGGCAAAGACACAGTCGATAGGAACTTATCTTTGCTGAGCATGGGCTGACTGAGAGGTGAGCGCGAAGGAGAAGGAGAGAACTTGGCTACCCTTTCATGACAAAGTATCATCATTAAAGCTGTAATACGGTATAGTACAACCCACACACTGAGGGATTTATCATTCCTGCTATTGTAATCAGGTGCAGCACAACCAGAAGTATTCATTTTTTTCATAGACGTGAATATGTGGGTGGTTTCAGATAGGAGCTGTGTCTCTTATAGGCAGTTTTACGTAACTGAACAAAGCAGACATATGCTCGGTATTGAGGTATGTATTGAGTCTGCCTTGAAACAGGTTCTACAGTACGGCGGAAAACTGAGTGGAGCAATAAACTATGATATGTGAACATCAAGACAGTTGATAATAACCTCCTAAGGACCAGAGTTAATATAAACCTATAGACATACTCAGTGTACACATGTTAGCGGAGGAGCAGACACACGGTGACTACAGTCAGTTTGTCTGGTTATCTTTAGTTAGCTTAATTACCAGCAATTTTAGTACATTTATACATGAGGATGAAGCTATATCTGGATGCATGGATGAATGTATATATGCACATATATAAAATGTGTTCATACATGTGTGTGTGTGTGTGTGTATGTGTATATATATATATATATATATATATATATATATATATATATATATATGAAGTAAGGTTTTGTTTTTTTCCTTTTCTTTCTTGTTGGGTGCATGAAATAAAAAAGCTTGCAAATACATATATTGGACATGTGGTAGTAGTGATTCACAAGTTTATTGTTGCTAGCTATAAAGGTATATTGAAATTAAGACAAAACACACTCAACTCATGATTTGACCTTGAAGACAGGGTGCTGGATAGTTATTGTGGATAATAAAAAAAGAAAGACTCAGACAGAATTTAACTTTTTAATATTACCCCACGAACGTTTCCGGGTGCCCGAAATCTCCGTGTGGCCATATTAAAAAGTAAAATTGATGTTCTGTCCTAATCTTTTCTTATACATAAAAGTGTACAAAAATGAAAAATAAAAAAAGAACAAGAGAGCAGCTTTAACTAGGTTTGCCAGTAATGCTTTTTGCATGTGAGTTTTTGAGAACAGTGACTATGGTAAAAGAGGTTATTGACACACTGTAGATGAATTTATTGATGGAGTCTGCATTGTTTTTTTAAGTGTAACTGGGACAAGTACATATCAGTGTCCCATACTACACCATTTATAGTCAAACAAGAAGAACCTTGATACAAATACACATAGCTCAGCAGGAAAACACAGACCAAACAACACAAACAGCACTAGAATAAAATGACTAAATATCCTAATAAAAGGATAAACAATCCGGCCTGACAAGTTACATTGATTAGGAATATTATGATTTAGAAATGATAAATATAACCTGAATCATTGTAATATCAATATGTAACATTGTATATGTGAATCATACTCACTCTGAGCCGGTGATAATGTAGCCAAAATGTCTGTCCTTCCCTCTGCTGGAAAACTCCTTCACCCCCACGTGGACCAGCTGCGTTTTGACTCTCATGTCCTTCTTCTGTGGCTCCTCCGCCTGCTTTTTCCCCGCTGGGTCCTGATTCCCCTGCATCCACCTCTGGATCTCTGAGTCCACGTGAGCGTCAGGCCCATCTGCACCACCGGTTAAACGCAGGGTGGAGCCTTCCTTCGCAGGCAAGGTCTTCGCCTCCCAACGGTGGGGTACGGAAACTTGGCCCTGCGTCGTCCGGCTTTGGACATTCTCCAGTCCGGACATTTTCCGAAGGGGAGCTGGTGGCCCAATGTGGACCACTGGAGCGTCACTGAAGGCCTCCAGGTTGAGGTAGTCCAGCAGCTTGGAGAAGAAGGCTGCATGCTGTGTTGAATCAAAGAAGATTTCTCTTTAGAATAAGGAAGGCAATTTTACTTCATTTTACATTAGGTTTCCTTTTAGAAGAGAGTTTTTAAAGTTCTGAGGACAACTTAATTAATACCTTGAATAGAGACTTTTATTCTCTTAGATATGGCAATCATTTAAAGGTATACATTTGCGTTCAATTCACTGACATTTCTATGTCTGAGCGCTGGTACAAGGTCTAACGACGTCCTTTTTCCTTACAAATTAGAAAAGGGTGCATTTAGTGCCTTTACTTACTGGACTAAAAATTTAACAAAAGATCCATGGCATCATGCAGAACTTCTTTCATTAATATCGCTTTTGAAGTTCCATTAAATGAAAATATTTGAGGTTAGACAACACTCAAGGAATTTTAGAAGATCCTGCAGTTGCTTTCAAGTTCTAATAATTCAACGGTAAATGCTAGTCTGCACAACTTTCAAATCATCCCTATTTGAAGTAGCATTCATAAGTGAATAAAGTGTAAGTCTGGACATGTCTCGCTCCCTGAGAAATCAATTTGTTGGTTGAGGAGATTCATTTTAAATTCACCTTGTCAACAGGCTCTTTGTCTGCACCGTCTATTTGTTGGCCTGGAAACAAACACAATTTATGAGAGCAGATTGTGTGGAAAAAGTTCTCTTTTGTATTTAGCAAAGAAAAAACCATTATGACTCAAAATGAAAGACTCAAAAATACATTTGGCAGCACTTTCTATGAGGATTATACAAAGGAAGCATTATTAATGTATTTAGAAACTTATTATATATGGCAGAAAATAAACACACTAGTACTCCAAGTGTTGCCAGCTTTTACTCGCTTTCTCAACAGAAGAAACACTCACCTTGCTGTTTCATTCTCAGTGTGTCTTCCTGGTTTAGATCTTGACCTTTGTCTGATTTCAGGACCTGGTCTTGATTCTGCTGCACGGCTGCCAGTGGCTCCCTGTTACGCTCCATGCCCCCCCTGGAGTCAGCAGATCCTGGTCCTGGCTGGGTCCCAACCACAGGCCGCTCCTCATCCACCTCCTGCAGAGCCCCTGTGATGACCCCAGCCAGCTGGTTCAGGTCTTTGCCCATCAACGCCTCCATGCCGATTCTGTGTCTTCCCAACTGGTTCGCCATATTCTGGATGAATCGCTCTGGACAGAAAAAAGGGAAGAATGAAGAAGTGTAAATTTAAAACACAAGGCAAACAAACCAAAAAATAGGAATATTGTGATGCAAATATAAAAGCCAGAGTGTAAAATACCGTCCATGACACTATGAGGCTCTTTGGCGGTCAGTCGGTTTGAGCCAGCCTTGAGCAGAAGTCTGTCTAGATTAGGCCTTTGGGTTTTGGAGCCAAAAGCCACGTGAGACTGCGGTTCTGCGTGGTCATTCAGAGCTGGACGGATGTAGCTGAGGTAGTGGAGCTTTCCTTTGGGCCATGCAGACTTGACACCCGGGGCGCCCTGTTGAGTGCTCGGTACCTCGGCAAGAAGCTGCTCCAGATGGCTGCTGAGCAGTTTGTTGCCTCCTGGGTTCCGGTTGGAGTAGGTTGTACTGAGCTTGGGGTGTCTGCCCTCTCCGCTCTGGGTGAAGACTTTTGTGACTGGAGGTTGGCCAGCTCCTTTCTGATGGCTGTAGATAGTGGTCTCCTTCCAGCCCTGCTGGGGTTTCAACCGGCTGGGCTCTAAGTGACCTTCAGACTTGACGTCTTCATTCTACAACACAAAATGCCACTTTAAAGTTCAGAGCATTGTTAATACGTCAAACATCATTTTGCCATGCGTGTTGTGTGGCTCTGGGGATGACTGATCTGCCACTTTGGTCCAGACTAAAATATCTCCACAACTATTGGATGGAAATCCATTAAATGTTGTTCTTACATTCAGAAGATGAATCCTAATGACTTCAGGGACCCCCTAACTTTTGCTCCAGTGCCACCATAGCTTTACATTTGTGGTTAGGACAACACATTCACGAGTTGTAATAACGTTTTTTTCCCGCATGTGTCACAATGTCTATATACCTCCTTAGGCCAACATTAAGTTGTTGTTTATGACACCAAACTACTGCAAATAACGACATTCCCATCATCCTCAGCAGTACTTTGTGTTTGGTGCTAATTAGCATGCTAACAGGCTAAGTTAAGATGGTGAACATGGTAAATATTATGCTAAAAATCAGCATGCTAGCATTGTCATTGTGAATGTGTTAGCATGCTAAAGTTAGCATTTGCCCAAGTAGCCTACAGCCACATAGGCCTAAAGCTGCTAGCATGTCCGACAACTCTATGTCATGTCTTGTTCATTTATGTAAAGCTAAAGTGACAACATTTATGTGATGAATCTTCAACAGCTTCAGCTCTGCAGTCGTTTTTTTCCCCCCGTGAGAACATTGCATGGGTTGCGCTGGGTCAGCATTGTTGTGACAGACTTTAGTATAAAAAGAGAAGCAACCTGGGCTCAACTAGACAGGACAGGATATGAATAGGGATTCTAGATCAAAGACAACTGCCCTTGGAAATTGCATTATGGAAATCATAGATGAGATAGTGTCACTCAAAGAGTAATTTCATGCACAAACTTAAAAAGCATATCCCTTCTGTCAGAGAAGAAGCAGCCATCCCTTATCTAGAAGGAAGAAACTATGAGGTATCTGATTTCACATTTAGCCATATGAGTTTATATTTGACACATGATGAATAATGTGTTTACATCACAATGCACTGCTACACAGGTATCTAGAGGCCGTTTCACAATTTTTGGTAATAACACTGGCACTAAAATGTGTGATTTTGTTCTGCTCTTTGTGAAAAAGAGAAATCATTCCTTTTGTCTGAATCATAAGGGCCCACGCTTCAATTGAGCACACAATATATCCGATCCACTGAGCAGCATTATCATCCATGTCGCTGCAGCACTAATACTAGCTATCTCCCTCGGTGCCATTTTCTGTCCTTCAAATGTATATAGAGAAAATGTCATTCTTTCCAAGCCCGGCGTACTGAGAGGCCATAATGGCATTAGCACAGCGAGACGGGGGTGCTCTGCCATTCATGCTAACCATGTTTGCATTTTTCCATCACACTACCCAACAAAGGACCTCGCCTCATCAATAAGGAAGGTCCTGAACTCTTCAACTTTGCATTATGACTGCGCTGACACAGCAGCAGGAAGCGGCTCGGTTGTGAAGGATGCAGAGCACATTTCACACAAAGCCGGGGTTCTACCCTAAATATGAGGAGTGAATAATGTAAAGAGGTGACGGAAGATCTTTGTGTAAAAAGGTCTCTGCTCAGTGGGAGAGGGAGGAGAAGACAGAAAGCGAGAAACAAAAGTGGTGCGGGGACAAGAGGGCGACCTCGGCAAAAGACATAATGACTCTTTTCTAAAGGAATAGGAAGAGGCCCTTCCATAATTTAGTTGAGGGAAACTTTGTTTGTTGACTCCATCGATAAACATTTCTTGCCTTGACCCTGGACCTAAATGCTATATTTCTAGCCATTACATTACCGCATTAAAACACAGTAAATCTTTTAAAGGGTTTTCTGAACTCAATTTAACATAGCACTTCCCCTCTTCTGTTGTTAACCTGCATCATTTTGTGCACTTGTCACACCTGTCCAATCCACTCCAAAGTCAGCAACTACTACAAGCCCACAGCGTGCGAGACTCTTACCTGAACGTTGGCTCCCAGTCGTTGAATTCCTGGTTTTCCGTCAACATCAGACTGCGGCAGGAAGCCCAGGCCCGCCAGGTACTGTTGAAGGTTTCTGCTCAGTTTCCCGTCTCTGGAGCTGCTGTAGGCGGTCAGGGGGCTCGGAGCTGAGGCCTGGTGGCGGAGAGGAACGGTCCTCAGCTTGGAGAGCTCTCTGGAGATGACCTGCTGGGTGATGTCGTCCTGCCATGTCAAACCTGGAAACAAAGATAGATATTCCCCCTGAAATTCCAAATCCAAATAAGCAGCATATGACGCAGAGTTTTCGCTGTTGGAAGAAAGCCATCGCATGGAAACAACAAAAGACTCCAACAAAATGCAATAAACTGAAAATATTACCTTTACCCTATGACTACAATGTAGACAATATTTTAAAAATACTTGGAGGGAAATTGACTATAAACAGTCTAAATGTCTGTAAGATTTAACATTTAATATTGTGTTGCAAAAAATGGAAAAAAAAAAGACTGTTTGAAATATTGTTTCTTTGACTCAGTATTCATTTAAATGGTGATTGTAGAGTGTTTAAGTTCTCTACTTTGAAGTAATTGTTTATAGTTTTATGATCTTTACAAGACAGCAAGGATGAATCCGAATGGTAGAGCAAAAGAGGTCTACAATGACGACACACTTAAAGTAAGCCGCGACTACACATTCAAACTCATGCACACATGTACGGACACATGTATATACACAGACATGTGCACTCACGCACACACACACACACACACACACACACACACACACCACAGCCAGTCAACAAGCCCAGGGAGAATGTCACACTGCGGCCTGATGCCTCGCCAACATCTCTGCTAATTGCCAACACATAGTTGGGATGCAGAACTCCTGGGCAGGGGTAAAGCGCACTGGTGCCAGGACCAGATGGAGCTACCCAAGCAAAAAAGATACCCAAAACATGGCTTCATTCCCAATGAGCCAAGAGGCACAGCATTCCATCGGCAAAGAGCATAGAAATACCACAGATATCACACTTTTGTTTGAGGAGCCAAGATGTCCACTGATGACACTTCATTTCAACACAGAAGCGTTTCTTTTTATGAGAAAGAAGTCATTATGTTGCGTGGACTGCTTACATTCCCAGCTGCCTAACTTTTTATCACACTCATCGAAAGAAACAATGCTGCTCTTAATGATGTGGACTTGTTCAATGGCAATAAATATTCAGCCTGGGTTTGAAAGAATACAAAAAAAAATGAAAGCACCAACATAGCTGAATGTCTTCATTAGCCTGGTGACTCTGGGTATTCTCATAGATATTCATAAGCACCAGATGAGGATCTGAGCAATGCAGAGCAGCTACAGATGCCTCCAGTCATTCCTGGCAGCGCTGAATGGAGCACAAAGCAGCGTATGTTGCCGCTGTTCTGGAACGCAGCTGAGCCATCCATCCGTACAACAATGACAGTTAACTACCCATGGCTTAACCGATGTGGTGTATACTTGTTGTATATTAGCACGGTGATGATCATTTATGCTATCATCAGTGGGGATGGGCAAATCAGCTCTGGCTGCAGCCCTAAAGGATCCATATGGTACCTGCGGTTAACTGCAGCTGGTTAAATGGGTTCATGGTGAATGTGCGACGGCGCCACAACAGGATGAAGCTGGCCTCATTGACTGTGACACCTCTATCCCCCCCCCCCTGTCTCCTGGGGGATGCACTGATTTCCATACATACCATGTTGTTGTGTGTCTCTGATGGGCACACTTGAGGTATGCCGGCGCAAATTACAGAATCAAAGTGAACCATTTTGTAAAAGAAAAAGTCAGGAGAAAAAGCGGTGGGGCCTTTACGTTTGGACTTCTCTCAATCAACAGTTCAGCTGATTACCCAGGCATTGACTAGCTAAATGTCATGCAAATTCTCTGTCTTCCTCTGTTAGTCCAGAGGAAGAGCAAGTACTGCCAGGTTTTTTGCCTGTCACGGATAGTATTCCGTCTCAGGCAAATGCCTCAGTTAATTAACGCCTTGCCATTAGCGCAACAGCTTTTAAACAAGCGAGATATTTCTGTTGGCCTCCTGTCTCTTTTCTGTGTGACAGAAAGAGAGAGAGAGAGAGAGAGATATAGAGGGGCTTCCTAAATATTCAGAGCCCATTAGATGGGATCCTGTCTACACGTCTTGTAGTTTCATCTGCTGTTTTTGAAATGCAGATTTTCCCCTTTTTTTTACTTCTGTCCACCAAACTGATTCTAAAGGAATTAATAGAGAAGAGCGTGAATAATTTCGCAGCGAGTTCTACCTAATTAGTCAAAAAGAAATGTGTCAATCCAAATTTACAAACCTACAGGGCAGAAAATATGAATACATTGTGTACAGTATCATTACATTTACTTAAAAAATACAATGTAGAATATTGATGTTTTCTTATATATAACTTTTTTTTTTGGCTGCACTATTTCTTAAAATGCAAATACTCTAAATACCTTATGCTTTATTTTACACACATTTCCCCCAAACCCAGGCTGATATATTTTGTATCTTTAAAATAAAATTCTGTGGATTTGAACAAAGCGTGACCGCGTCATCACCTCTACTGAAGTGATTTCATATTGCCATTTCTGCAAAAACAGTTGGTGAACATCTACAAGGACATAAACGATTATTTTCCTGTGAAAGAAATCATTTTGCCCGGAGTAAAAATCTGCAGCAGGTTTCTTTGAAATGATCCGTCCACCTTCACAGACCTCGCACTGAACGGTTCAATAAAAGCACTCTTGTTTTCCTCACAACAACTCAAGTTTTCAACATGGCATGTTAGTGTGTGATATGTCTGGCATTTTTTTTTTTTATCTCTCCAGTACCATCTAGCAAGGTTGTCAAGGAACAGACAGAGCAGAATATGAGGACGACCAACAATAGGTTTTTGTCGATTGTCTGTCAAAAAAGACATTTTTGTGCAGGAAGAATGTCGTACTTCAGTGGCTGGAGTGACATCATGTCAATTTATGGTCGCTGATTGTCCCTGACTGATGCCTCCTGTCAATGGAGCTATAATGTAAATGTCACAGTACATCATCTTACTTCACTTGTCAGTGCTATGAGAGTATCCACCGCTCCGCACAGGGTCAGGAGTTCAATCGACTGCATGTTAGTGTAGTTTACCGTGGCGCATCATGAACGGCAGGGTTACATTCTGACGTGATTCTTTCTGATGTTGAGAGTATGGAGCTCGACAGGATAAATACTGACCAGGAACTGAAAAATATGACATGAACTATTGTAAAGAAAACGTAGAATCAACCTTTTTTTGTCCTCCAGTCCAACTGACCGCTGGCTAAGCCCTATAAGCCAATGCTAACGCTAAAACTCAGTAGCTTAATCCTTATTGTTCTTATTCATTTTTATAACACTTTTACAAGAGATACAGACTGAAGGATGAGGAATAACCGATGAATTTGGAAAATTAACAATAGCTAACATAAGTTTGGGAGGGGTTGCTGGAATGTGAACGTTTCCAGATTAAATACAAATATACTGGAAAACAGGGCACCTAAAAAAAACAAAAAACAATGTGTTTTTGCTTGTAATAAATACATTTAATTGTTGGGTGATTGTGTCTTATATTAAATGTTATGGGTTATTTTGACTAGTAATTAGAAAAAAACCCTGTAATGTAGGAGTGTCATCAAGGTGGATGTTGTAGTCATGAGCAGGTATCAGAACCTGTAAACCCAAAAGATATTGTACATAACTAATGCCATGCCCCTTGTTTTTGTAAATAACGCTAAAGCTGGCTTACTACTGTATGTAGCTAGTAGGCTAGTTAGTCGGATAGCAAATACGTTTTTTCCTAGGGATGGCGAAGACATGACCCGCCACACTCTGATTGGTTTACCGTGACATTCTTAGCCGAACCAATCGCACTCCTCTTGCCTAAGCCTCATCAACCCAACCAACGACGGCACCAAGTAGGGCGGGTCATGCCTTCGCCATCCTAGGAAAAAACTAATTTGCAGTCAGGAGTTCGGGATGACTACAGATTATTGCTCTTGTTTACTACAACCCTCAATATGTGGCAAAATCCACAGCTAGACAGACCTGCCCTGTCTAGATATGGTTACCATGCTATGATTGGACATTTGGTGTTCACGGGCGGTGTTTGAAATTAAATGCTCCATCCTTTTATATTGTACATCAAATTAGTACATTACTTGAATTAGCTCTCGTGTGTATCGTCACACAATCCCAGTCTGCACGCACACACATTTAGCAGAGCCACAATGACTCCACAGCAATATGACAGCAGCTATGAAATGTGTATAGACGAGCTGCACACGGTGAATACTAACGCTGCTTGGCTTTAGGTGCTGTGTAGTATAAAAGTAATTTGCAGTCGGGTGACAGGGCCTTGCATTCAAAAGGTATTGATGAAAATGGAATACCAGACATCGTGTCCTGCAGGGACACAGCCAGACAACCCACGCCCTTTTGTACAAGGGTCAATTTCTATTGATCTGAATGACATTGGTGTTGTGCAGTGAGCAGAGATTGTGCGATTTCTACCTGCGTCTCTGATGAAAGATAAAGAGGATTGTAAATCGATTCCATTGATGGTCCTCAATATTTTTTTTCTCCCCTTCATCTCTTCAATTTAGGTTACAGTACAACGGTCTCAGTAACCCTGTCTGAGCTAGAAAAGAAAATGTGCACCCCACGTCTCAAAGATGACACTTCAATAGCTGTTGAGCTGATAAGAATAGCGTACCACTGAGTATTAACAGTGCATTGTGGATTCATCCAAAGATAATGCTCTGTCTCTGTGTGACTCTACAAGGCAGAAAAGGGGGAAATGATTCAAAGTGATGATGTCATGTCTGCGGCGTCTGTAAATGGGCATCTACAAACACAAGGTCAGAGTCGTGAAGAAAAGTATCCAAAGCATTTGAACACCTATTTAAAAACGGAGCAGGGGAAAATGACAAACCGGATCTCTTCTGATCCTCCTCACTCTCATTTGTTTATTTCTAAGCAGTAATTAGAATAAATGTATGGTCTCGCCTTGCCTAATATTCATCACTTAATTTTCTTCCCTCTCTTTTTTTTTTTTTTTTGATTTTCTCCAACCAACTGCTTGCTCTTAATGATTCTCAACATTGGTTCACGCCTGTTAAAAGATATCAAGCTCAGAATGGCCTGCAAAGCCAATTATATTTAGAGGGCTGATGCGTGTGGTCACGGTCTGTGTCAAAGGTTCCTACTGCCCCCTGGTGGTTTATAACTGTACTTACAGGCTGCCAAATGTGTGGAGAAAATATTATTATTATTTTTTTTTAAACACAATTTTCTAATAAGTTGGTCTGTAATTTCCTACAAATGAATTATTACTTTCCTGACAAGTTTTCTCTTGTCTTTTAGTATCTAGGAATTTTCTTGGAAGAACTGCTACATTTAATCCTGAGTAACTGGTCATCCATCATTTATTTATTAACACTTAGCTCTATGTGTCTCTATATTTCACATATGATTAGTACCAAATTACTTGTTTCTTTCAAGGAAACTTCCAAGGAAATTATCAAGAAATTACGGGCCCTTGTTAACATGAGTCTAACAAGCTAGTTTTACTAATTTTATGGGCAGAAAATACCTTTCCAAGAGTTGTCTCCAAAGTCATTTATTTTTGCAGTTATAGCAATGGCTCCAAAACAGCAGACTGCCTGGAGGCTCCAGTCATTTCTAGCTGTTGTGTGGCTACAACAAGACAAGACATGAATACAAAATCTGCAATGTCAACGGGAGACAACTGAGGAGATGCATGACTCCAGCATGGCTCCAAGGTTGGGGAAACTTGATCCCTTAAATTCCTGCTGCATTCATAATGAGCTATTTAGTTACTTCTGTTATGAAGACATCCTATTGTAGATGCACGGTGCGCCCCTGAAGATGTAACCTGTTACAGCAAACACATTAGCTGCTGCCATTGATTGAGTAGGAGAGACTGCCTAAGGTGATGCACACTGCACACCTCACAGTTACTCATCCACAAAATTTGCTCTAAATGTCCCACCAGCATACAAGCCAATGAGATTGGCTGCAGGAGTTAGAGGAGATGATGGCGAAACAATGGCCCGATATGAGTCAAATGACCTGTTCTAGCTCAATTGTGTCGCACTACGCTAGCCAAGGAGACAGTTTGGCTTATTTGGCTTGCGTCACACAATGGCAGTGGACGAGCATTTGCTGTAAGCCCTGTACATGACTGATAACGGCTGCTGAACAAGGAGGGGGGAGGGGGACACACACACACACACACACACACACACACACACACACACACACACACACACACTCGGACAAAGACAGACAGGCAAACAGGCCGTATTTACCTCTGTGAGCCAGTTTCTGGAGGAGGATCCTGAGGCGTTGCACAGCAGAGGAAGAAATATCGTACGTGTACAGGTCTGCAGCGGCCAACTCCTGGCACCTTCCAAACACTCCGTCTACAGGAAAAGAAAATGGGGAAACTGTGAAAACTGTGAAAACTGTTTCATGAGGGGTATGTGTTGATAGCTGAAAGTGAGACGCACACATGAGAAAGATGTAAGAGATTTGAAGCCCATCTGCCCAGATCAAATGCTGCACTGGTGTGTGGCACCTGCATTGTGTCCGTACCCATAACGTCCTGTTTTGAGGGGGGGGGTTAATAGCTTACATTTTTCCTCTGACAGCATCGCGATAAGCAGCCGTTTGTGGCAGGAAAGACTTTATCAGGGACCCTGGTGATCTCCCTATCAGCAGGCCTCCCGCCTCACTCAATACAGGTTGCTAGGCAATCCACGCAACAGAGTCCCTATCAGCCCCATAATTCAATGGCTGGTCTAGACCTCAGAAGGATGCTGAGGATCAGGGGGTCAGAAAGCAGCGTGCAGACGTAACGCCTGGAATATAAATGACTGCTGTCGTCTTCTCTCAGTCAGAGAGATAAATACATGCATCTTGTTTTTGGCTAAACTCACAAAATGAAAGTCCAACTCTCAGATGATCTCTGGAGATGAATCCCGCAGCTCCGATCTGAGCCATCTCATCTGTGTGTGTGTGTGGGTGTGCAATCACGTAACGTGTACGAGCATGTGTGAGGATGCCACTGTGATTAGATCTAATGATGTGAATCAACACTTTGTCATGCATCACAGCATCCCGTTAATTAGGCCCAAGATGTCGGACAATGACAGCAAACATCAAACATCATTGATGCCCGGTGGCACGTCGGGGACCGTAGAATACACAAACACTGATCCTTTACATGCAAATATGTTGTCTCCTCATGCACATGTATGATCAATAACATCTTTTAATCATCTGTGCGATTTAGCATTTTGACTCAAAGAGCGGAACGTGGAGCTTCACCTTTGCATCAAAAGCTAAAAAGCAAAATATTCTTTAATAACTCCTGTTTTTTATTTCATCTATAAAAATCAGCGAGCATCAGTTTTCCCCCTCGACTAAAATTAATGTAATTACAGTGCCGTGTTCAGTGTAAAAGTCAGCGACTGATGATTACAAAGATAATAACGTGATGTCAGGCTCTAAATTGAATTCTTATTCTAAATGAGAAGCGGTTGTTTTCCTGACTCCCCCCCCTCCCACCCAACACCCCCTTCGCCTGTGACCCGTTAAATGACAGCTCTGTACTGGAAGAAGCCCGTGGGAGGTGTTGAATTAGCATAGACAACACAGTTTAACATTCGGGAGTTATTTTAGGATCTGAAACATCTCACCTACAGATGCACAGATCGTCACAGACATCTGAATCACAAGACGTCAACCGTCTCCTTACTCTTTGCCAACAGACCCTCTTCTCTAATGGTTTCATCGCGGGTGACATGGTTAATATAAATACATGAGGTTTTGTCATTTTGTCATATAGAGTTTTCTCAAACACGTCTGGTTGGATTTATTTTTCCCAGTCAAACAATAACACATATTATGTAAGAAATGAGGGAAGGTGACATAACAAGTCACCGGAAACTGTAAGACGCTTGATGCTCTGCATTCCTAATTGGTTTCCATGGCTGGTGTTAAACATGTTACTTCCTTCTCCGTTGTCAGGTGCATTCCCGATAGCCACCAGGCACACGCACACGCGCACACACACGCGCACACGCACACACACGCACACGCACACACACACACACACACACACACACACACACACACACACACACAC